TTTATATCAGCCACCCTGCTTTCCAAGATATCGGCATCGGCTGTCAAAAAACCAATATCGGTTGACCACTAATTGCAATGTTACAATGAAATGTGATTTTAACCCTTTTTTGCACATAATATAAAAGCTTACATGGTTACATTCACTATTTGTTTTCATAGCCTTTAATATGTATTTTTTTGTTGGACAACATTGGGTGGTAAGTCAAATTTATATATATTAAATACAGATTTTTTTTAATCCAAATACAAAAACAAAAATACCGAGATATATACCGTATATCGCAAATCGGCCAAAAAATACAGAGATATGAATTTTTGCCCATATCGCCCAGCCCTACTGCAAATTAATTCTTTACTGCTTAAATCTGCACTAACGATGCATTCCTGTCACGTATCACACATGCGCACTTCAATAAGCCAACAGAAAGCGGGTAATTGCGTTTACATGCCACGCGAAATTGGGGTAAGAGGCAAAAAACTAACTGTGTCGACCGGTTTATGCTTACACCATTTATGACCTTACTCCGATAAAAGAAAACGGGTTACCACGTTTACATGACCACGTGCGTTTTCAGCTTATTAAGCATAATTGGCTTAAGAACGTGCATGTAAACGTGCTCCATGAAATATTCTTCAATGGAAATATGATTTTCATTAGAAAATTCCAAAAATACGCTTCCTTTTCGGCAAAATATATAATTTTTCCTTTTGATTTTGAAATACAACTTGGACATTTTTTGTGAGATTCACCCAGCTAGACATCACTCTAACGGGGAAATTTACTGTTAAAAGCAACTACTCTGTTTAAATTAACTAAATCAACTTCAATGTCTGACCTCACTGTGGCCTTTATTTACAAGGTAAAATTTTGAGAAATCTGCAGTGTTTGCTACCTTGACTGCTGTCCTCTTCTGTGCTGCTGAAGTCATCTTCGTAGTAAGTGTTGGAGTCAGTGGAGGCACTGGCGTCACTGCTGACCGAACCTTTTCTCTGCCGCTGCAGCACACACGCCTGAATCAAGCAGAACCAGAGGCACCACATTCATCAAACACAACAGACCACTTCCTCATAGCAACCATGATCAAGTCTTGTGGTCACATACCTTTTTATAGGAGGTGGAGAGCAGCGTGAAGAGCAGATTGGTGAGAGGGACCGAGTCAATGAGTCTCTGCACTCTCTGTATGGACGTGCTCTGGGCCATGATGTTCAGCTCTGCTGGAGGCCCGTCACTGGCCCAGCCCTGAAAGACAGAAAACAGCTTCACTCGTATTTACAACACAAAAATGCTCCGGTAGTTTAAAAGAAGCAGTTATGTTCAGTCTTACTCTGTGAAGAGCCTCCACTTGCAAGTCCTGGAACAGTGATGTGAGCAGCTTGATTGAATGATTGGCCAGAATGACTGACAGAACCCCAAAACCTTGGTGCCTGATGAGAGAAAATACTTCACATTTACTGACACACTTACTTACATGTGGCATTTTTTTAATAATCTAAAATACACAAAATATGCAACTCATACATTCAACACATTTCACCTATTATGTTTAATTTATTTCTGTATTAAAAATTTGATATTCCTTGGGGTACATAAAGTAAAAAATGACAATGATACTGTCCTGATATCATAATTTAGAAAATAGTTTTTTTATATAAAATGTAACTTTTATATTATAGCATAAAATTGTATACAATTTTTGCTACCAACAAGCAGAGAGAAAAAAAAAATCAGGAAATAATGTAGAGAGGATCCCTGCAGACCATCTTTTAAAGTGTACATCATTAAATACACCTCTTAAAATATCAGATAATTTAAACTTTTTATTTCAAGGCAATATTAGGTTGTAAAATGTGGTGCGAATTCCCCAAAAACTTAATATTTATAAATTAATTATATATATATATATATATATATATATATATATAAGGGATGCACCGATAGGATTTTTTTTAGGGCCGATACCGATTTTAGCAAACACTTATTGGCCGATTCCGATACTTGTCACTTCCTCTATTATTTGAAATTTTGGCATCAAAATATATTTGAATTAATAGATATTTTGATCATGTTTTAAATCAGTAAAGTTCAAAAACACCTGCATTAAATTATACTAGCAGTTTTATTGCTAATTAATCTTCTAATTTGTTTTTGTATACATTTTAATATTTTTTTGTAAGTTTAAATATGTATGAGATCTCCTTTCCTTAGGCGGGACTCTTATTTTGACGGGTTTTCTAGTCTACGGAGCTATATGGGTAATGAAAGCACGCAGTTCTTCGGATTTAAAGTTTGTCAGTTTATTAAGCACCCCCCCCGAAAAGGCATGAGATCTGTATATATTTTTTTACTGTTAGTTGTAATGTTTTGTGTAATTCGCTGTATGTTGATGATAACGCAACTGAGAGAGAGAGTTTAATGTGCACTTCTCGTGCTGTGTTTTGTTTAGCTCTTATGGTGATTTTTTTGGAGTGAAAACCCATTAGATTTCCCAATAACTGATAAAGAACTTAAAGAAAAAATCAGAAACCTCCAACTCAAAAAAGCATCTGGACCTGATGGGATATTAAACGAAATGATAAAACACACAAGCAGTAAATTCCAATTGGCCATTCTAAAATTATTCAATGTGCTTCTGAGTGTAGGTTACTTCCCTGACATCTGGAATCAAGGCTTGATAACACCAATCTTTAAAAACGGAGATAAATTTGATCCTAACAACTAACTACAGAGGCATCTGTGTGAGCAGCAACCTGGGAAATTTATTCTGTAGCATAATAAATGCTCGACTATTAGACTTCATCACCACGCACAATGTACTGAGCAGAAGCCAAATCGGATTTTTACCAAATTACCGTACATCTGATCACATCTATACATTACATACTCTAATTGAAAAACATGTTAACCAAGATAAAGGTAAAATATATAAAGAAAGCAAGCCCCTCCCTCAGCTGATCCAGAGCTTCAGTCCTGATGCTTCACTAACATCTACTGCTGCTCTGAATCACAACATCAGAATCAGTCAGATTACTGCACAAATCAAACAGAACTACATCACTCACTGGCAAACCCAAACACAACAGCAGAGTAAAGTGCAATGCTATTTGGCCCTAAAGAGAGAGTACAGTATGGCAGAGTATCTGTACACAGTGTCAGATATATAAAATAAATAAAATACATTTTTTTAAAATAATGATTAAGCTGCTTTCTCTCACATGAATTCAAGATGTAACGAAAATAGGTTGCAACTCTTTAGTTGATCATCACACCACATGACATTTACATAGAAGTCACTCAACTGAATGTTTTTAAAACTAACATGAACAGACTATTTCTAAGAACTTGGTACATGCATTTTAGGGCTCTCTTATATTTCACGCACCCACATTCATTAGGTCATCATTTCAAGTACAGAACACAGAGGTACTTACCCTTTCCCTGGGCCAAGTTTAGGAGATCCTGCTCCATCCTTGGTTCGGGTGGCGATGTCTCTGACCCGTAGTGCTGCCAGGGGATCTTTCTCCTTCCCTTTATCAGCCAGGGCCGTGGGGCTCAAGTTCAGTATCAAATACAGACTGTTCAACAGGCACCAGGCACCCAAGAGCTGAAAGTTCTGATAATGCTGTCGAAACATGAAGCACGATCTTAGACACGGGCCGTTCTCATTAATGTTATATACTCTGTGGCAAAGTATTCACCTACCTCTCCTCCAGCTCTGCGAGAGTTACTGATGGCCTGTCCAATCATCTCATAGATTTCCAACTGTTGAAAAGAGGAAAAGTGTAAGATGAGGAGTGTACCAAAGACAATAAAACTGTCATCTTGACTATTGACACCTACGCATTTCTGCACGATGGTAGCAGCGTCGTTTTCATAGTCTTCCTCTTTGGAGCCAGTGGAGGTCGAACGAAGCTGCAAGCCGCTGCCCACCTGCAGTATGGCCATGCAAGTTGCCACACTCACACCTGAGAGAAAAAAAAATACTCCTGAAGCTCTCTGTGTATATCTGAACTAGACAAAAGGAGCTTTTTCAATCAACCCACCTGCATAGAGGCAGCTTAGTGCTAACACAGTCACATCAAGTAGTCTCCCAGGGGTCAAAGGCTCCAGTACAGGCAAGGAAAGTGTGTCCAAGGCCATGGTCACATCAATCACCAGGGAGTGAAAACTGAAACACAGGGAGGGAAAGTCAGGATTACTCAAGCTCAACAGATTTAATAAACAGCAGTGAGCTGAGGGTGACTTTGGTTTACCCATTTCGGACAGCGGTGGCGTCTGCCACAGTGGCTGGCATGATGAAGAAAGAATTGGCGGATACCGCATCCTGGAAGCGGTTGATATACCGTAAGAAGTAGGGAAGGTTGAGGCACACGCGCAGCAACTTCTCTGAGCCCCCTGTAATGCATGGGATAAAAATAAAGGTTTTCATTGTGTAACAAAATACACTCAACTTCGTTTCAACGGGTGGTATTTGAAATCAAACATTTAAGAACCACTGATAAAGTGCAAGTGCAACTCACCTAATTCTTGTAAACTGGACACATTTTGAGAGATGAAGGCATTCTTCATTTTGGCCTGCATTGCCTGATCTGTTGTCTGGTCATCACACTCATTCTCACCCTGTAAAACACATGACATCATGGTTTTGTCCAAAAAACATCTTTGTTTGCTCACTACAAAACAGCAGTAAACCCAGAAGTGGTCACATCATCGTGAACTCAATCGAAAGACTCGTCTAATTCACCGACCTGCATGTGAGCGGATGGAGAGGCCAGCATGGTAATGTCAGGGTCAAAGACTGAGGTCAGCTGATTGAAGAAGTTCATTTGGACTTCTTTTTGTCTGAGTTCAGGGTTAACAGGGGAGGGAAGCTCCTTCTGGTCCTCCACTGGAAAACAAGAGCACCAAAGGCAATTGCAGAATATCAGCAGACAGAATCTCATCCATTCTGGACAATCTCGAATCCTCTCTGACAGAGGAAAGAGAACAAAGTTTCCTTTCTGCCAGCCTGGCACTTACAAAGAAAAAAGTTAAAGGGGTCCTATTACGCTTTTTCACTTTTTGAATTTTAGTCAGTGTGTAGTGTGTATGTTTGGGCATAAAAAAGATCTTCAAACTTACAAATCTCAAAGTCCACTCCAAAGGGAGATTTAAAAAACAAAAAATCCCTTTTCAAGAACTACAATGAACGGCTCGTTTGGACTAGCGCTTCTCGTCCTGTGCACGACCGCCTGAAACGTTGTTTTTTTTCACCTCCATGCCCAAACGTCTTTCTTTGGGCTTCCGAAAGCGGATGATGTCAGGAAACAGTGGTTGCAATTTATTTTTTACCTCTGTCTCTGAGCATTATAACCCCAATTTGCTATTGTGGGCTGCGCATTTTACTGAGGACAGCTTCCACAACATGAGGGAGTACAGTGCCTGCCGGATTCGCCCAAAAAGCTTTTGTTGAAAGACGGAGCAAGGGGCGGGGCAGTACTGAAACACAGTCTAAGCTGTTCGCCAATCACAACGCACTGGGACAGCTAACCAATCACATCACATTTTGTTTTTCGGAAGGCGGGCGTTCATCAACCCTGGAACTAATCGAGCCGTTTGTGCCAGGATGGGGAGAAAGGTATTGTAATAATGTAAATTACGTAAAAAAATAATGCGTTTTTCGAAGCCACCAAGCATGAGAGCATGTTCTAGTACACCCCCAAAACAAATTCAAGACATTGTAAAAGAGCATAATAGGACCCCTTTAATACACTCAGATAACACAATGCTTTGTCTGGACTAATCTGTGCCACCAGTTACTTGCCAAACTGTGCCATGATGAAGGATGCTATTTTTGTAAAAATTAGATTTCATGATTAATTTGCAGGGCTTGATGCACTGTTTAATGAATCAAATTAATTGCATACAATCATAAAAAAATATTTGCTGAGAATTGCCCCCAAATTAGGACAGTTCCATAAAATGGAATTTATGTACAGGTCAGGAGGCCTGATTAAATTCCATTCATTTTTAAATCATGTTCTCTTTTTTAATAATTAATAGTACTAAATTAGCACGCTAAAAGAATGGCTTACTAATGTGTTAAAGAATTCAATTACTAAACAGAACAGCTCCCTCCTGACTTGATCTAAACTGAGTAAAACTCACAAGAGAGCCTCTAATTAGCCACAATAATCAAATGAGCAGCAAAGCAGGCACACAAGAAAATGATACTTCATTAATTCTTGTGTACAGCAGATAACAAGCTGTAAAGAGGAAAAATATAGTTATGACACATCTGTGTACTGCCTGAACTGCATCAGCATTGCAAGACAATGTATTAAAGAGAACTTAGGCAATCTGTCCACATGGGATCTGTCCCTTTAAAATTCCACATTTACACACTATTGGAACTTCAATAACATCATAAAGGTCCCCCTGGTCCTTCAAAATTCAGCACAACTAGACCTGTAAGAATTATTTGAGCCAGTCTACACTGGATATTATCAGCCTTTAATTTACAAGGCAAAAGGGAAAGCAAACAAGAAAATCCTACAAATGAAACAATTTCACCACCTCAAGCTGTTTATTTCTGAACAGCTGTGTTGAATTTACAAGCAAAACGCTCAACATTCATCCCCATCCTGGCTCTATAATACCTAGCTAAATCATAGAGATTACGTCTATAAAGACAGGTCATTACACCAATCCTGACATTTCACGTTGCCTTTACATTAACTAGACAGCTCATTTATCTGGTAACACGGTGCTGTGACAATCTGAAACTACTATTACCATCAGAAAGGGTCTTGACAGTTTGGGGTAGTTTGGCTGACTTCATCATTGCAGTAAAGGTGATGATCTCTGTCCGATCCAATCGACTGCAGCCAGTACAAAGGCCTTTTATTAAGAGGATCAGGTGCTTCTGTGGAGTGGAAGGAGAAAGGAAGTTAGTCTATGAGAAAATGCTAACAGACAAAATGTATTACACCAAGGTTCATATCTGACCTGAGAGACTGCACATGCTTCATCAGGATTCTCCAGACGGAGCAATGAGAATTCAATCAATACTTTACATGCTGCAGCTACTGACAGCAACTGATTTCTGGGGACTGAAATGGGACAGAAAATTGTAAAAAAAAAAAAAAAAAAAATTGGGAACATTTTTAATAGCCAGTTAAATAGTGTTGCTTTCGTCAACGAAAATTATGACTAAATATCGTCGTCAACGAACCTTTATCACGTGACGAAAACGAGACAAGACGCAACAGTATGAAAAAGAGTATGAACGTGACTAAAACTAATAAAAACTAAAATGACAGCTTCACACAAAGACTAGACTAAAACTAAAATTAAAACAGGCCGCCAAAAACAACACTACAGTTAAACCTGTGTATGCCTATATTTAGCTAGAAATATGATGAATTTCAGCTAGAAATTAATGAAATGACAGTTTTAGAATAAAACATTGAAATGTGACATACTTTGTCCACAAACTGTGGTGATGTAATGTGCAGATAGTGCCACAAAAGAGGAGTAGAATGGCTCATACTGTTTGTCATGGTGAAGAATCTCAGATTCACTGTAGAAAAAAAGAAGAGGGAAACCGCTGAAATCAATGTAAACTGCAGTTTGCATCTCATTTAACTTCTGTAATGTGATACTTCCACATATTTAATTAGATCAAATTTAAGACAGGACTTGATTATCCATCAGAAATTGACTGAATTGTGAAAGTCAGTGTGCATCAGAATGCAAGTGTGCTAAACCAATACCTACACAGCTATTTGGCTATTGGTTAATAATATTATCTAGTACTTTGCATGATCTGACCATTCTGACGTATAAGGAAAAGCGAAATCATTACTGATAAAGCAAGTTATTATGTTCTAATGAAAGATTATGAAGACAAACAATGTTTTCTGTTGAATCTGTCAATAAGAATGGAAACAAATTCATAATTACGGTTAACTTCATGTTGAAATTCCCAACAGAAGCTAAAATAACTAAAGAACTCCCAAAATGTTGTTCCATCCAGCAATATACATGATTCTTGCAGAGATAAACATAAAAACTATCCTATAGCGAGCATGTAACAACTAGTTAGCAATAAAAGGTGAAAAACAAATTCCAAAGCACAAAAGGGAATTTCTTTGTAAGATAAACTCACAGGAGTAGGAATGCATGACCTTATCTGACAGACGGAACATTGATATTGCTTTCAGATTTAAATGTAACAACAACATACAAACATCACAAAAGCTGTTTAAGGTTTTAAATGATTCCTAAAATCTCTTGTGATAATTGTCCAACTTGTACCAGTGTTATTTTACTACTATTTATATACTATTATAGTATTTATTAGGGCTGCACGATAAATCGCATGCGATATTTAACGCGTCGCATGCGATTTATCGTGCAGCCCTAGTATTTATTAATATTTTTGAACGAGTTTCAGGGAAAACTCTTTTAGGAAAAATACACATTTCAGCTTCATTTTATCCATTCAGAGAATGCCACTGGCAATAAACGTTTTTGAGCAAATACACTCGTGTCAGCAAACATTCATAAAATGAATCTGAGCCCAGTCTGATGAACACAGATGAAACAATTAAAACAATTAACACTCAATTATTATTAAACCGCTAACATAAACTGGTTTAGTCCAGTATAGGTTAGTTGCTCAATTCATTATCAATCGTGTTACTTTCATTTTTGACTGACTAAGTTGCACTTAGCTCATGCACATCGACAAGATGACAGTTAAAGTTTTCCTATCACAGATTCAATTCAATGTGTTTACTGTTTATTTTAAAGGTCAGGCAGTTGTTTGGCTCGTAATTAAATAAGTTGATTAACACCGCTGTAAATGACAAACACCGTAATGTATTTGATTGGGAAGACCAAGCACGGTTTCCGTAAAAACGAAACTGATGACAGTAAGTTACATATATTTACACACAGACAAACAAGCTTTTGAAGTGGACAACTAACCCCACGACAAACTAAAACAGAATTCCGACGTTTGTCCACTTGACCAAAATCGGCTAACACACAATTAGCGAACCATCAGTAACACTAGCACCAGCTGCTAAGTCATGGCTTGCTAGTTAGCAGGCACACCCCCTATTTGCATTAAATTGAACCGACTGCAATTAAAACTTTGAGTAACTGGGACTAATGTGGTTGCCGCTGACTGACAGAGGAAGATTTATCAGGATAATTAAAAAAGACGAGTATGAGTATTATGAATAGCTCTTGACAGTGGCTAGCAGGTTAGCTAGCGTTGGTTGGGGTTAATCGAGGGAGGCTAACATGCTCATTCGGTGTCAATTAATTCACTTCCGACACAAATACAAAATCACTTTATTTAGGTGCGGACGTCGTGGGATCCTGTACATCCATTATAAGTAAGCGGCATTGATAAAATATCAACCAGGCAGGTTATATGAACGTAAAAGAGTGGGTCTCCGGCCTGATGATGAAGCAGAATCTTATGTATCTGCTACTGTAAATGCACAGTAACACTACGGCTCTGTCTCAAAACACAGTGAGCTGCATTCGTAGACGGCACATTTAGTCAGCATATACAAACCCAGACGATTCAAAATCATTTTTGGCCACCGAAAGCATTTTAAAAGAGCATTTTCGGACATCATACGCGCATTTGGAATCGTCCAAACCCTCTCACGATGCCCCGAAATGCTGTGAAGGTAGTCAGCTGACTAGGTTTTGAGACACAGCCTCGGTGCTGCCATAGCATCACAGCTAATGCAGTCACTCAACAGTTTATTTCAGCCCTGCACGAGCCAACTCAACAAACAAGCCCTCGTCTGACCTGGTTATGATGGATCCTATAAGCTGAGGTAGCTCTTTCGTTTCGAAAGCCGTGTAGGACGCTGATAAAAGTGGCCGTACGGCTGCGGTCCACTCAAGTTCTCCATCTCCTCCACTCGACGCCATCTTGAGATCCTCTATTAGAATCCAAGAGCGGAACTGAGGTTAATCATCAGACGCCAAATAACAGGAACTGTCGTCAGAGATACACATGAAAAGTCTTGTGTGTAATGTCATGTGCGCACGTAGAAACCTTCTGAGATAAAAAAGAATAGAACTGTGGTTAACGGTTTTACTCATGAGCTTACAAACCTTATCTATTGTTTATTTACGATTGTGGCCAAACAGCTCAGGAAACGTGAGCGTAAAGGGACAGTTCACCCAATAATGAAAATTATGTCGTTATGTAAATCGTCACCATGTCTTTCCAAAATTTTCTTCTGAAACCCAAAAGTAAATGTTAGGTAGAATGAACCTCAATTCACTTTAATTATATCTGGAAAACAGATGCAGTTAGCGAATTGACTTGACTCTTGTCAAACAACATGAGGGATAATAAACTAGACAGAATTTTCACTTTTGGGTGGTTATCCCTTTAAAATAGTCAAAAACTAGACCAATTGTACATTAAATTCAATTCAAGTTTATTTAAATTCACGATACAAATCGTTGCAAAGCAACTTTACAGAAAATTAAGTTTCTACAATATATTTAGTAGTAGCTTATCAGTGGTGACTGGTGACTGTCAGTTAATGTACATATGTTGCTAAAAAAGAACATTATTTTGTGTATTTGGTGTAATGAAATGTATTTATGCGGCTTAAGGTTAAAAAAAACATTCTTTTCCACATACTGTACATTATTGTTTCTCCTCTATGCCCCGCCTTTCTGAAACGCGTCGATTTTTACAAAGCTCATCGGTCTGAAAAAGCGAGGTGTGCTCTGATTGGCCAGCTATCCAGTGCGTTGTGATTGGCCGAATACCTCAAGCGCGTGACGGATATGTTACGCTCCTTACCATATTGTGACGATGCCCTGTCAGACCGGAGCGATGAGACAAAAACATGAAAACCCATTATAAACGAGGCATTCGTTGTATCCAGTGGGGACATAATTATGGATTATAATGACATAATAATTATAATAATAATTCATTACATTTATATAGCGCTTTTCTAGGCACTCAAAGCGCTTTACATTGTGAGGGGGGATCTCCTCATCCACCACCAGTGTGCAGCATCCACCTGGATGATGTGACGGCAGCCATAGTGCGCCAGAACGCCCACCACACACCAGCTTATTGGTGGAGAGGAGACAGAGTGATGAAGCCAATGTGTTTATTACCACGACAACTGTCCGAGCCTGTGGCGCCTGCAGGTGTAGGGCTGTAAGCACTGCGAGTACCATGAGCGCTCAGACTGATCTGAGATTTGCCCGCAAACATTTCAGCAGTTATTATAGGCCTGTGTGTCCCGTATTTCTGTCGACTGAACCAGCCATGCCATTAATTATCAATTTATCTGTCTTTTGCACGCCAAAGTCAATTTCTGCGTATAAACATCACGCCAAATAGAAGCAGAAAATCGTTCTATACGCACTTTCATGAGATCGGTGAGATCGGGAACAATTAATTTGTTGGCTGTTTTACAAATGGTAACACAACGAATTCATGACAATTTTTACAATTTTTACACCCATAAAATGTATAGTGAAAAGTACTCTAAAAGCGTCTGGAATGCAATAAAGTAATTTTAAAGCTGTTTTTTAAAGCATTTGCAGCATTGATAAAAAATATAAATAATTAACATATCATACAAAATTGCATTGCAGTTATTTTAAAATCCTTTAAATTTTCAGGTATTCAGAACAGAGCAGCATAAAAATCTGAAAAAGCAGCTATGCAATTATAGGACAAAGTTTTACATACATGCCATTATAATTTGTGTTATATTTTTTAATTGTACGGAATTATAAAATAAAACGCAAATTATAATCGGGCCTGTTTTAGGCTTTTCCTTATTTTTATATTTTAGACATCCATCAAAAAAAAACTCTGTGCATACCCTCAAAAGAAATCCTGCAGACGCCCCTGGTCTGAGTTGAACGTGTTTTTTGTGTATCCTGCTTGAAGGAGATGAAAATATTATACATCTGAAGCTGTAATTAAATATTGAGAAACAGTGTGTATTATGTTTA